GGTGAAGAAGAAACGATGGAGCAAAAAAACTAAAACGACGACTGTAGACACCCCATTTTTGACCGTCCTCAAGACTTGGACGTCACCGTTTGAACACTCAGTGATTATCCATGCTCGTGTTTGTTTTGAGTTCCCGGAGGTCTCGGCTACGCGCCTTGCCTCAGGATCTCTCAACTTGCTCATTCTGTCCTTGGTTTTGCACCAAGGACTTGATTGTTTTGTACCTGAGGGTAGAAAGTAGCTTGTTAGCTACCCCCGATACCCACCGGCCATGGATTAAGGCCACCGGCCGTGTATTATTTCTACCGGCCATTGGTGAAATATGCTATTGGCCGATCGGCACTTTGTGTGGTCGGCCGACCATCTGTTTGGCCGATGGCCTCCTTTTCTGGCCGGTGCCACTTTTTTTGCCTTTTTTAGGCATGTTGCATGCCAACTATGCCAACTGGAATGCACAAACCCTGTCCACGTGCACATGTGTGGTTGTTTTGCCCCTTTTGCACCCTTTTGGTCTTGTCTAAGCTTCCTCAAGAAGCTTGGACACCTGTCCCAGCTTCCTGAGGAAGCCTTGGCCCCTTTGCCTTGGCTTCTTTAGGAAGACTTGACCCTTTTTTAATAGCTTCCCTTGGAAGCTTAGCCTTTTGGCTTGGTCTATATAAGAGCCCCTCCTCTCTCCTTTGTTTTGGTTCAGAAAATCCAGACCTAATACATACATATATTTGATATATCATCCTCTGTCTCTATCTCCCTCTCTCTCTTCATTTTGTGAGGATTTGAGGCCCTAAAGGTGTGTTTAGTTCATAGTATTGCACTAAGACAAACACTCTTACACCTTACTTCGACTTTGGGAGGCATTGAGGGTTTGTTCTTGAGGTTTTGGACTAGTTTCGATCAAAAGAAGAGGGCTGCATTTGCTGTTCTTCAAGGATTCTCCAAGGGTAACACTTTTACTTTATATTCCCCAATCTTGCACTAGTCTTTTACCTATCTTGCTTACTGTTTTAGACTTTGTGTATAACTGAAAAAAGTCTTATATTTGCATGCTTAAGATACTTCATTAAGGTTGTTTTGGTGTTGGGGGTCGACCTCCCCCTCTTAGGCCTTGTTTGGCCCTTTTGGTGCTCTCTTTGCTAAGCTTTGGTTACTATTGTGTGTTGACCTTCTCACCACTGAAATCCAGTGGATTTTCAGTGGTGAAGAAGGGGGTTTAAGGTCTTGCATAGGGGAGGGACACCCCTCTCCCTTTGTGCCCCATTTGTTCATGCTTTTGGCTCATAAGGGTAGCATGCATGATTAGTTGTTCTTGGCTTCATTTCAGGGGTTTTTGGGTGTTGTTGGGTCATATTATGCCTCTGTTTTTGGTCGGATTAGTGGCCCCTTCCATGCATATTATACTTGCTTTGCATTCCTCCATGTTGCCTAGAAATGCGCCTTGCCAATAGACCATGATGCTTGCATATATTAGCTTAACTTTATGAAGTTCTAAACATTGGTTTGCCATGCTTAAGGCCTATTTGCTACTATTTTAGTCATACTTGCCATGTTTAGGGTAGCCTCTTTGCGTTTTAGATTGTGAGCCTTGTGTATGTGGGTCTCTAGCATGCTTAGCTTAGCTTATTCTCGTGATTTGGCATCATTGGAGATCATGTTTAAAGTCCACAATCCATGCTAGTATGCCTGTATTCATCATCTCTTTCATACTTTGAAGAGTTGTTTCTCTTGTGCCTCGAAATGAGCATTGTGCATGCCCCTTGGTTTGTCTCTCTTAGCTGCTATATCAGTGGGTTTTGGAGGTCCATTTTGTATGCTAAAACTCTGTTTTGTATTAAAAGATCCATGCCATGTTTGCTCGGGGTACGTAGGTGTTGAGCAATGCTCTCGTTTGTAGTCTTGAATGCCATCTATGTTGCATCCATTCCCTAGCATGTATTGGTGTCATCTTTTGCATGTTTTTCGGAGTTTAACATGAGTGTTTAAAGTCCAAGTACATTACCCTTAAGTATGCCTAGAGTTGTTCCCTTTTACGTTCAAATGATAGGCCTTGGCGTGTGCATGCTTGCATGCATAATTGGTACCATTTTGGGCCCTTTTGGCCACTGTTTTGGGGCATGGCTGAGGCCTCCCATTTCAGTTTAAGACCACTTTTGTACCTAGTTGCATACTTGGCATGATGTATGTTGCATTACATTAGGAGCATGCTTGCATTATATCTTGTTTACATGTTCGCACCTTGTTTAGTTAAGTTGCATCACACAGTCTTGTTGTATACTTGATATGCCCACATCGCATTAGTCTAGCTTGCATGGTTAGCTAATGTCTTGTTGCATTTGACTAGCTCGCTCACATGGCATTGCATGAGTTGCATTACTTTGCATTATACATTGCATATATGCATTGCATTACTTGATTTGGCGTGTCAAACCAAGCATGAGGGGAGAGGTATGTTCGTACCCAAAGTGACGAAACGCGTCTCGACCCTCGGTCGCCGATGCCCTTGACCTCAATATGAAAGGGTGTTAGCATTCATTTGTGTGTTGCATGCATTTACATTAAGTTGCAAACTTGGCCTCTTAAGCCATCATGCATCGAAATGCACAATTGATGGCCCGAGGGTCGAGGACCACGCTCCCTTGAGTTCATCGCATGATAGGGAGTGTGGCCATGCTCACATTTGCTTGAAAATTCCATGCCATACATTGCTTGCCCTCTGTTGCTGTCAACTGTAGGATTTTGCAGGAAGAAATGGCCGGCCGGCCACCTACAGTGCCGACCGACCATCGGTGGCTGGCCGGTGGTACAACAATTAGTCGATGAGCCCATCTCCATGGCCGGTGGTGCTTTGAATTGGCCGGTGATATTCCGGAGTGATCAGGAATCAGTTCAGAGGTGCCCCAATAATTTTCACAGTCCTCAGAGGGGCAAGGCAGTGTTAACAGAGGCAACAGTGCTATGGCAGCGAGTTTCTGGGCAAGACGAGTCGAGCATGCATCATTCACGCGTCCCGAGGCGAGGCTGTGGCTGCCTTCTTTCTGCATTTAATTTGTTAATTAATTAAAAATTCTGTAATAATTAATTTTGTATTATTTATTCGGACTGTAATATTTATTCGGACCCTCCGAGTGAGGGCAATTGTGTAATAAGTGTGCGTAAGTGTGTGTATGTCTCCCAACCCCACGTCTTTTTTCCCTTTTATTTACTAGCTTTCGATGGTTAGTCTAGGGCATGTTTCAATTAGCATACAGTATGATAGCATGTTTGCATCCATTCATTTGTTTTGCATGCACCGGGCTCGGCGCATCATTCTAACTGCATTTGTACTTCAATTCCAAATTGAATATGTGTTAGTTGTAGCATCTCATATGTCATTGTAGATTAGCCGAGCCTATCTTAGTTGCATTTTGCATGTATTGCATTAGCCATCTTAACATGAACTAGGATCATGCACATGATTACTAATTGGTTTCTGTTTTGGCTTGGAGTACTAAGTAAGCTTTTATGCTTTAGCATCTCGCATGAGTGTGAATGTTAACATGACAGCATAATTACCATGAGGCTAGCTTCTTATGTGATATAACTGCTTGAGTGCCTGTGGATGGAGGTTAAATTACCTAAATTGGAATAATGCACTAAAACTGTGAGGTTTAAGCCCACTGGATAGTAGCAAAACCATCTTTTCTAAATCCCACTTGAGGGTGGCAAAACCTGCATTTTAGCCTACTTGCGAGTAGCAAACCATTTTCAAAACAAACATGAAATGTTTTGTTCCAATTTAGGCGATTTGGTCTATACTTGTTTGTTGTGCGCATAACATAGTAATTCTAGGCTAATAACCGGAATAAGAACACATAATGCTTTCAAAACAAGATATCATGGTTAGTAGAGGCCAATCCTTGATCGGGCGAGCGGGGGTGCTCATAGCTGACCTTCCCCAATCGTACCCAAGTTCCCGAGCCGAGGCAACTTTGGTGATGATGGACACGTGGCCTTAGGCAAACCAGTCAGGATTTCCTAAATTCTCCCAAAATAAAATATTTAGGTGGTGACTCTGTATCTGGCAAAGTAGTTCATGTTTGGCACTTCTTTTCAAAAATCTATTTCTCAAAACGATTTGCCGAATTTGGACTCTTTAGTTCAGATTAAGAACCGTGACAATTTGAGAGTCCTGAACTGTAGTGAGCCCAATATGAACAGAACGGGACTCATCCTCCCGGGGCGTTCGGGGACGCCTAAAACGACACGACACCCTATTAGCACTTCCTTGGCCGACAATGGGTTGTATGGCTACGAGAGAGACGATGAAGAAGAAAAAGAGATCGTAATGCTAGCTTCGTTTACAAAAAATCACAAGAAGAGGATGATGAGCGCAAAATGTAATGTTTTGAAAGGATGGAAGGTGTGGTCGCTAGAGATTGAGTCGCCGGTGAGGTTGTCGGGGTTGAAGAAGCTGATACCGTCATTTGTGGCGGAGGGGAAGTGAAGGACAGCTTCACAGTGGTGAAGGAATCGGTGGACCCATATGAGGATTTCAAGAGATCGATGATGGAGATAATATTAGTGATAACATAGAATATATGTTTCATATATTAAGAATGAATCAATTGAGTACAAATATATAAGCAGGCAAATAGGTAAAACCCTAACCACCTAAAGGACTAAACTATCCTTCATGAACAATATAAAACTATAATAATTCACACCCCTCCTCAAACTGAGGATGCGAGAGCAGAAAGCATCGAAAGTTTTCCAAGAAGAAAACGAAAACGAGGCACAGTGTGAGTCTTCGTACAAAAAAATGGCTAACTGAAGAGAGAAGGGAACAAAAGAGAGAGTAATAGTACCAGCCTAAAGATGCTATCAGACAAAATGACAATCGATTTCAACATGCTTGGTCCCCTCATGGAAAACTGAATTATGGGCAATTTAGACAGCGCTCTAATTATCATAATACAATGGAGTCGAATCAGAAAGAGAGACACCCATATCAGAAGAAGCCACCGAAGCTAAATGATCTCAGAAGTAGCATAAACCATGGTATGATACTCAGCCTTAGCGGTGGAACGAGCAACAACAAACTGTTTCTTACTTTTCCAGGGTATGAGAGAATCGCTGAGGAAAACACAAAGACCCGAAGTGGATTTGTGATCAGAGATGTCACTTGCCCAATCAGCATCAGCATAGGCACAAAAAGTCAAGTCTGAAGAGGTAGATAACAGTAAACATTGCAACAAAGTGCCGCGAAGGTAGCGTAGAGTACAGAGTAAGGTAGCCCAGTACGTGGAACGAGGAGCAGAAATAAACTGATTGAGAATGTGCACAGCATAGGAGATATCCGAACGAGTAACAGTGAGATAAACAAGGCACTCAACCAACTCGTGATACATAGTGGGATCCTCAAGAGGAACGCCATCAGAAGCTGAAAACTTAGCATGCAACTCAAGAGGAGTATTGACAATTTTGTCATCAGTGAGATTGGCACGAGAAACAATATCATAGGCATATTTAGTCTGAGAGAGAAGATGCCCAGTAGGAGAAGTAGCAACCTGTAGCTTGCCTTTTTTGTGCCCCCTTTCGAAAGTTCGAAATATAAGCCCCACAGTTCAGACTCTCGCAGTTTTGAATCTAATCTCACAAGTGCAACGTGAAATTGATAAACACCAAAGTGTTCAAATCCGGCAAATCATTTGAAAATTTGATTTTGAATCAAATTGCCAAAATTAGACTACTTAGCCAGACACAGAATCGCCTCCTAAATATTTTATTTTTAGAAAAATTTAGGAAACCCATGACTCGTGCCAAAGGCCACGTGTCCATCATCACCAAAGTTACATCGGCTCAAGAGCTTAGGTACGAGAGGGGAAGGTCATGAATTGAGCACCCCCGCTCGCTTGATCAAAGATCGGCCTCTACTAATCATGATATGATTTTTATCAACATTATATGCTCTTGTTTCGGTTTATTAGGCTAGCATTTACTATGTGATGAGCACACACACAAGTATAGACTAGTTTGCCCAAATTGGAACAATTCAATTTCATGTTTGTTTTGAAAAGGGTTTGAATTTGCCACTTAACAAAGCGGGCTTAAAGTTTGTGAATTTGCCACTTGACAAAGTGGGCTTAAATGTACATTCATTGAATCATTCCAATTCAAGCAACAGGCCTTCATCCATAAGCACTCGAACAATTAAGCAAGTAAGCACTTAGCCTAATAGCAAACATGCTAGACATGGAAATCACTCACACTCATGCAAGTATGCTAAATCACTAAAAACTCACCTAGTACTTCAAGCTAAGATAAACAAAAGAGTTAGAAAAATGTGCATGATTTCTAAATATGCTAAATAACTAATGCAACACATGCAATATGCATTTAAATAGGCTCGGCTACTTAACATGTTATTTGCAACAATTTCATAGCATGCGTTTAAACATGTAATCAACAAGGTAATTGAAACAACGATGCAGTTTGAATGATGAACCGAGTCTCGGTGCATGCAATACGAATGGATGCAAACATGCAATATGCTAATTAAAACATGATGCCCCTAATCTAACCATCAAAGGCGGATAAATAAAAGGGAGAAAGACGTGGAGTTGGAAGACATACACATTATTACAACATTGATGTCCTCGCGCAGGAGGGCTCGAATGAATTAAGCTAACTAGCTAACTAAGCTAAGCTAATTAAGCTAATTATTACAAACCAAATAAATAGTTAAACTACCTAACTAATTATTACAACACTTGAATTAGTTAACTAGTTAACTAACTAATTAAAGACTTACAACACAATTGCAATTAATAATTAAATCAAACAATTAACTACTTCGCCTCGAGAAATGAGAGATGTGCATGCGCATGCTTGGATTCCACCTGAAAAGACCACCGTTTTGCTCTCGAATGCCTCTTTTTGCACAGTTGAACATTTCCAGAACAACTTTGCTCCATCTTACTAACACTCTACTGAGATTTGCATCAGTGGCCAGCCGGCCACTGGTAAAGATAGCCGGCCACCTGACGGCCATCAAAGGTGGTTTGCCAGCCACCTGTCGGCCATGGAAAGTGGCATGCCGTCCACTGATGCACAGGTTCATCTTGCTGCAACAGAGGACAAACAGAGCATATACAAGGTATTTCAAGGGTTTGTTTGTACAACCCACCTCTCCTTTTCATGGGAAAATCAAAGAAGTGGTGAACTTAAGCCACAAACCAGCAACTCAAGCAATTTCATTGCGTGATGGCTTGTGACTCAAGATATGCAATTTCAATAAATGCAAAACAAGACACAAAACTCCTCCCCTTCATGAAAGATCAAGGAAAGAAGTTGACCTTGGAGACTTGGATCATTTCATCACTAGCAAGTATGAAATGGTCCAAGCTCCATGTGGTCAATTAACGTCCGATTAAACACACCAAGACACATCAAATTCTTATCTTACTCACTTTTAGTTCCAAGTTTACTCATTTTAATTACCCTTCCATTCTTTAACCAATTAAGTCCATTAGTGAGTTGAGTCCTTTAAAAGAGAAGGAAGTGTCAAACAATGGATAGTTTAAGGAAAGAGAGAGGTGTCATGCCGTTGATAATGAACTCCTAAAAGAGGATTAAACCATTAAGCATGGACCTTAATCTCAAGTATAAAAAATCCTAAGGATGAAACAACACTCAAAGCAAACAAAGAGTGAAGAAATGAGAGAGGTTGTAGAGATTTATGTTTGCTAAAATTAAGTTAGAAAAACACTAAAACAATGCAATCAACTCAAACAAGTGGTGTCTAAAGGCCTAAAACACCAAGCTTGTGAGGACGCTTACACTACAAGCATGCAAAACAAGCCTCAAATGACTTAACCAACCCAAAACAGAGTTAAATCAGTCCAAATCAGAGCCTAAAACATGCTGGAATTAAGCTACAAATGGCTAGAAAATTAAGCTAACACATAGAGCTATCTAGGCTACCAAACAAGACACAAGGAAAGGAGGCTAACCCCTCCAAATTTGGACTTCGAAACATGATTTTCACCATTGAAATTACTCTGAAATTTAGTGTTCAAAAGCCCAAAAAAAGATAGTTTGAAAGTGGGAAACAAAGGTGGAAAGGCCTTACAAACAAGGAATAAAAAGGGGTGAAATACCCCCAACCTTAAACGGCCTAAAACCACAAATTTCAACCCACAAAAGTAGAGTTTTTATAGCCCAAAGACAGCCCAAAAATAGTGAGAAAAAGATAGAAAAACAAGTATGCAAAGCAAGTTAACAAGACAAGTATTATACGTCTTGAAGAGAAGAGTAACTCTAGGCAACAATTCAAGCCAAAACCAACTTCTAGAGCTCCAAGAAGGCCTCAAGGAACCTCAGCTCAAAGATGATCAACTTTGGTTAAAGGTGTATAGGCAAAGGCTAAGGAATTGAAGGCAAAAGTGTAGAGAATTTGTAAAGAGGGAGAAGAATTGTAAAGAGAGAGGAAAATTTTTGAGTTCAAAATTTTCTAACCTTGCTACAAGAGAGAAAGGGTCCCTATATATAGAAAACATGAAATTCTCTCAAGGAGATCCAACCCTACACGTGGGGATAAATGGATGCATCTGTGTAAACAGTTGGCACAACTGACATAAAAATATCTGCAAAAGACACTAGTGGCTGACCGACCATCACTGGTGGCCGACAAGCCACATCAGTGGCCAACAACCCAAAAGTGATGGTTGGCAGCCTCTAGGGGTGGCCGGCAGGCCACCATAAGCTACAGGCTTGAAAGACCAAAATGAGACAAAAGGGGTGCAGGGTTTGAAAGGCCCAAAGTTGTGGCGTTCCGCTGAGGAGTTTGAGCACTTGGCGAGCAAATACGTTCATCATCTGGTGTACCTGCAAGGACGTCCAAGTCGTAAGGACCGTCAAAAATGGGTGCTTACAGTTGCCCCTCTTTGACAGAACTCGGAGTCATGAAATAACGTGAGTAAATGTCAAAGCCCGAAGACGACCCATTTTGACAAGGCCATAAGACTTGGACAAACAATCAAAATAGAAATAGATGGTTGCACCCGCAGATTACCTACGTATCCATTTGCAAGGAATCAAACCAATGTAGTTCTGGGGTAAGATGCAAATGATATGCACGATGTAATTTTGAAAGTTGGACTTACACGCTACGCGAAACCAGTGATTTTGAAATCTTATGATCATGCAAGATGATGCAAGAAACAATAACAAATACGATGAGCAAGATAACGAGATAATAACATATGAAGGAGCAGCTTCAAGCTTCAAGAGGATAAAACCATACTCTAACTGTGCCAAAGTAAGAGACAAGAAAAGAAAGCACAACTCAGGGTTGCATTCCACGCATTCTGAGAAACTGAGAAAACCACTTGAGGTCGTGTTTCACACGGCTCAAGGTAACAAAGAAATAGCTCGGGATCGCATTTTACGCATCCCAAGAAAAAACTACTCGAGTGTGTACTTCATACGTCTTGAGGTAAAATCTGCCCAGGGCCATGTTTCACGCGTCTTGAGAAACAACCACTCGAACGTGTACTTCGTACGTCCCGAGGTAAAACCCGCCCAAGGCCTCGTTTTATGCATCCTGAGAAGTAACCACTCGGTGCGTACTTCATACGTCCCGAGGTAAAAGAGAAGGGTGTGCGATAGATGCATAAAGTGAATGAGTGCGATAGATGCACAAAGTGAACAAGTGCAATAAGTGTGATAGATGCACAAAGTGAATTAACCGTACATACAATATCGTTTGCATGTGTAAGAAAAAACTTAACAAGTGCAATACAGTAAGAATGCATGTTCTATGCAAGACAAACAACCGAAATACAATGTTAATTGAAAGCATGTTCCATGCAAGAAACAGAAGCAGATTCTATGCGTGAAACAAGAGTGAAAACATGTTCTATGCATGATTCATAACGGATGCAAGATGCGCATGCAACATATATGTGAAATGCATATCTCATGCAATAACTACATTCTATACAAGAAACAAAAGCATAATTTGGCAAAAGCAAATTCATTGGCAACTTCCGATTTACCTCTCGGAAGAATTACAATATGTTTAAATGATACACCTCGTTCATGTTGACAAGTGACAAACATTGTGCACCGAAAACACAATTTTGAGCTTCCGTAGGGACAATCTAAACCCAACAGTGAACCACCCCTATAATTCTTGGAAACCAAGGACACAAAACAACATCAGGACTCCAAGGAAGGCCACCGGCCACCGGCCGGCAACAGGAGGAGGTCGCCGGCCATGTGCCGGCCATTGGTGAGCCTTGCCGGCCACCTGCCGGCCAACAATGACAAACTCGGCGCATTTTGGACCTTTTGCCTCAGGTCCTTAAGTATAGATCTTGCCACTTCATTTCCACACTTACCCAAGTCTGAAATTGTTCCCTCTCTCTCTCTTTCTAGGTGCTCCGTCTTTCTAGATCCGCGCTTTCCAATGCCCCACGCCAAGTTGATTCGCTAAACCCTCTTTGTTTCTTCCGTTTTGAACCGAGTAAAATTTGATTTCGGTGCCACTTGAGGCTTGTTCCCCTCGAGTTTCTCTTGGGTTTTGCGCCTTTTCCCGGGCTTTGACTTTTTCTTCCATTTTCTCTCTCCTATGGTTGACTTTTCCAAGTTTACCCTATTTTCTTCACTTTTCTTCATTTTTCACCCGCTTCACACCTATTTTCCAGATGGTGGACGATGTACCATTTGTCAGGGATCTTCTAGGGACTCCTCCAGCGTTTCCACCCATTCCTGGGGTAGTAGAGCCAGCAGCTGATCTCGAGGTAGACCTTGAGGCAGAGTTCGAGCCTGAGACTGAGCCAGAGCCGCTACCACTAAGGGTACGGCCTTTCGATCCAGAAAGATACCATCCCCAGACACATATATTGCCTGCCAGAGGCATCAGACGTTTCACTAAGTTTATTCGCGGTGCACCGTAGGATCTCTTGCTGAGGGAGCCGGCTTCTCACCTATCAATCATTGCCATTGAGGTATGAACTCTGTTTTTATGTGTTTCTGCCTTTCTTTACTTGCATTTGTTATACTACCTTTTATTCGATTATACAATCATCACTGCTTTATCTAATCCATATGTCCTTTATCTGTTGCATCTATACTCTGCCACAGGGCGAGTCTCGTGCCTTCTGAGGTACGGTGCTATGACCGCCCGAGACTGGTACGACGAGCTCCCTACTGTAGTCCAGGACATCATAAATGAAGCTGGCTTTAGCCTTTTCTATTCTGGCCTGACGCGGGTTATCGCGAGCCATCTTCTCTTGGGAGCACTCGTGGAGAGGTGGTAGGACACCACCAACTCCTTCCACTTTTCCACTACAGGGGAGATGACGATAACTCTCTATGACTTTGCCATGAGCACTAGCTTAGACGTAGGGGTGATTCAATCCCTCTCGATACAGACATGGAGGAGTGAGAGGCGACCTGGTTCGAGTTGCTGGGAGCGTATCCACCCATATATCGGATAGGGATAGTCAGATACACCTGGTTCGCCGAGCAATTCAGAGGAAGCGAACCTGAGATGGTAAAGGAGATAAAGCAACATGCTAGGGGCTTTCTGATGTTCTTCTTCGGTACCACCTTGTTTTCGAACAGGTGGAACACTGTAGGCCTACATTTGTTGAGCGTCCTGGTGACCCTTCCTCGGGTTCGTTTTTATGACTGGGGTGGAGCTGGCCTTGCCACCTTATATGGCTACATGAGCTCGACCTCCCGTCTGAGAGGAGACTTGATTGGAGGCTACTGGCGAGCTAGGGAGGTACGCATCTCAGTTCCCTCTTAGCACTTTACATTTTCTGCTTCACAATTTTGCTTTACATCTATTCAACACCTGTGCTTTCTGCTTTGCACTTTCTGCATCTATTCATACATTGTGCTTTCTAATTTTCACTTTCTGCATCTGTTCATACATTATATTGATCACATATCACTGCATTTT